TCCGACCGATGGGTACCATACGGGTTGACTGTACGGAGAAGGCCAGGAGGGGACAGGGAGGCCAGGGCAGGGGGTCCACCAGGGAGAGGCCAGGGGAGGCCACGGCGGCGCGAAAAGAGTTTCGATCCGAAGCCCTGGGGGGGGGAGGGAGGAGGAGGAGGAGGAGGAGGAGGAGGAGGAGCAGCAGCAGGAGGAGGAGGAGGAGCAGGAGGAGGAGGAGGAGGAGGAGGAGCAGGAGGAGGAGGAGGAGGAGGAGGAACAGGAGGAGGGGGGGAAGGGGGGGGGCCAGGGAGGCCACCAGGGGAGGCCAGGGGAGGCCAGGGAGGCTGGGGCCGGGGGGGGGAGACGGGGAGGGCCGTGGAGGCGAGGGGGAGGCCACGGGGCAGGCCACAGAGGCCGGGGAGGCCTGGGACGGCCACGACGACCCGACGACGACGACACGAAAGTAAAGCAGTGCGAAGCCTTGGGGGGGGACGGGTCAGGCCAAGAAGGCCAGGGGGAGAGGCCGAGGAGGCCAGGGCAGGGGTGCGACTCCAAAGAGCCCACTTTAGCACGCCCTCCAGCGCACATCGGCGGGACAGTCTCCAGGGCTCGCTCTAGCACGCCCTCCAAGAGACTCCCCAAGGCACGTCCTAGCACGCCACCCCCTTAGAAAGCACAAGGCAGGAGGGAGAGGAGGGGGAGGAAGTGTTTGCCTTCTCCGCCCACGCACGTACCCTTCCACCCCCCTCAGAGCCCCCTGACCATGTAGAAGCCTCCGGAGACTCAACAAAAACGCCCCCTCGGACCCCCGCAGGTCTTATATCCACTCGTATCCTCCTCCTCCTCGGTCCGCCCTCTCCTCCTTCCTCCGCCTCCTCCCCCTCCTGTGGCAAAATGAACTGCTGCGTTTTGCGGTGCACGAGACCACGTACGCAATTGGAGGTGCTCGACAGGGGTCCCTGTCGGCATTGCTGTGCTTTTTTGAGGTGCCCCTAGGATCCGAGCGAAGTTCTCGCCTGCTGAGTTTATGGAGGCGGAGTGCTTCCTGTAAGCTGTAACAGCTTGCAGCGACAGCGACGGCGAGGCAAGGCTCTGGCTCTGCCGCCCCCTACCTCTTATTTGGGTACACTGTCTGCCTGGAAGGCCAAACACGCAGGGGCCTGGTCATGAACATAACGCAGCTTGGGTTCGCTGCGTCGGGGCCCCAAAACCACTGTTTCGTGAGGAGCGAGAGAAACCGACGCACACCTTCCGCTGCAAGCGCGGTGCCGGATAGTAGTGGCTTCGCATCGCACGGGTTCCCCTCCCCTTTCTGTATCATCTTGCCTCGAGCCACTCCTCCTCGCACCCTCTTCCCCTCCTCTCGTTCGTCCCTGTCTCGCCTCTCCTTCCCCGTCTCCCCCTCTCCGTCCCCCGCTCCTCCCTCCCTCCTCCCTCCCCCGTCTCCCCAGAGATCCGATGTCTTGATTTGGTCCACCCTGGCCCCCCAGGAGTCCCGACCCTGTTCCCAGGACCAGCTCTGAATCCTGAGTAGTTTGTCGACGGTCCCAGCCCCCCCGCCCCCCCCCCCCAGAGCGCGAATACGACGAAAAGCCTCCGCACCAGTTCGCTCGATGCTTTGGAGGTATGGGTCTCCCTCCTCCTCCTCCTCCTCCTCCTCCTCCTCCTCCTCCTCCTCCTCCTCTCCTCCTCCTCCTCCTTCTCTTCCTCCTCCTCCTCCTCCTCCTCCTCCTCCTCCTCCTCCTCCTCCTCCTCCTCCTCCTCATCCTCCCCCTCCTTCCCCTCCTCCTTCTCGTCCTTCTCGTCCTCCTCCCTGTCTTGCGGACCGCACACGGAGGGGCAGCGGCTTGGTGCTTGCTGATGCCCGAGTGGCTACGGCCGCTCGGTGTTCTTGAGGTCTCATGTGCAGGTCGCAATGGGACGCCCGGAAGAGTTCGTTGCACTGCTCCTCTGTGACAGTTGACCGCTCCCCACCGCCGACTCGATTCGACAGCCCCCCTTCCCGAGACACCAGCGTGTTGCTCTGGTGGAACGCTCCGCGAAACATTCCGTGACACAAATAAGTTCCCGACGAGAAGGAACATATCATATGAGATGGGAAAGTTCGACTCGACTCCCCCTCCTGCCCCCTCTCGGAGAAACGTAAGACTCGAGTTCACTGGAACTCAGGTTGGCCGACGTGTTTTCACGGGCCCGTCTTGAATTTTGACGGTGTCTCCGGTGTCCGTGGGATGCTTGCAGTGGGAGCTCGCGCCAAATTCCGGGCACGGTCTCGTCGTTTTCCTGACGGCTCCGTCAGAGCAACCCGAGCCCCTCGAACCCGCGCATCTCGCTGCATCGCTCGCGCGGCCTCCTAACGTCTCGGTCCCCCGCCGCCTCCTCCTCCTCCTCCTCCTCCTCCTCCTCCTCCTCCTCCTCCTCCTCCTCCTCCGCCTCCGCCTCCTCCTCCTCCTCCTCCTCCTGCTCCTGCTCCTGCTCCTCCTCCTCCTCCTCCTCCTCCTCCTCCTCACATGCTCCT